ATAGGTCAAAAAGAGACCCACTGATCTATAGGCTACAGCAGTACGGTTTATTACAAACCCAGTAATGTGGATTACAGCTACAGCACTCATTCCAAATAACAAGAGTAACTGTAAAAGTACACAGGTGAAACACCTTTATTCTAACTGCTGCTTCTCATGGGTTATCTGAAATTCGTACCTGTTTTTGTATTTGCTCTGGGCTGGTTAGCATCAAATTTACAATGTTGGCTTTGATAGCAGTCCGGTCAGGATCAGAGATTTTGTTTGGTTCATCCTCAACCTTAGGAAGAGAAAGTACACAGATCCAGATTAAATGCCACCTATCACACACCAGACTGTTTTAATAGTATTTAACAGGACACTCACTATGCGCCAGTTCCTCTTGATGTAGTTCTTGAAGGTGACGGCTGCACACACGCGAATGACCTCATCTTGGGACTTCTCTAGTACTGTGAGCAGTAAAATGGGGTAGTTCTGGTTTCCCTCCACTGATTCCAGAAATTTCTCAGCTAAAGATGGAGAAGGTGAGAACACAAAAAATGGGGATATACAGTATAGTTAAGACTAAACTGTGTTATTTTACATTTGATTACTTTACTGTGCCTCAATACTACAGAAAAATTTATAGCACTGATTATTTTGTTCAAATATTTTTTTTTCTATTGTATATGAAATTGATTTTTTTTTTTTTGTAAATTAGTTACTGTTTACTTGTCTTTTAACAGTTTTTGAACTTTAAATTAATATTATGGTAGTATTGCCCAAACTGGTATTGAAATAAAAAAATCTCTCTAAAGAAATTTGAATTAACATATGAGAATCAATATGCTTTTTGGCCAAACAAGCACACTTTTGGACTAAAAGCCCTGAGGGAAGTTGTTTAGTGAAAGTTTTTTTTAAAGAGAAGTGTAGAGGGTTGTTGTTGTTTTTTTCTTAGCGGAAAAAAAAAAAAAAAAAACCCAACTAACAAAAATTAAGAAATTACTGTGACAGATTTTTTTCTATATATTTAATAAAAATACCTTAGACCTTTCTAATGATTTATAGTTATAGGCCCCCTGCAGTTTTTCATAAAATGAAAGTTTACTATTTAGTAAGTTTATTAATATTCTAAATATCACACTTATTAGGGGCCAAGCCCTGAATTATTCTTAAATACTTTTATTTTATTACAATAGTAAAGTGTTATTACAATAGTAATATTTGCTTAATGTTTGGCCAAATTATGCAGCCCTACAAAAAAGCACAACAAACCTGGTTTCCTTTAGAATATTTCCACCCAAATTCAAACATTTACAATTAATCCAGAATGCGGCAGCAAGATGAATCTTTAATGAGCCAAAAAGAATGTACGTCACACCTCTGTTCATCAATTTGCGCTGGCTACCAATAGCTGCTCGCATACAATTCAAGGCATTGATGTTTGCCTACAAAACCACCACTGACCACTTCAGACTTATGTGCCCTCTAGAAGCTTGCGTTCTGCAAGTGAACGTCGCTTTATTGTGCCATCCAAAAGAGGCTTTTATTTATTATATAATAAAAAAATATGTACTGCGTTAAGCTAAATGAGACTTGTTATAGCACTTGTATATCATTGCTCTTTTGTTGATTCTGATTGCTTCCATTGTCCTCATTTGTAAGTCGCTTTGGATGAAAGTGTCTGCTAAATGACTAAATGTAAATTGTTCAGCACTACTGAGAATTGTGAAATTTCACTAGTATATAAAATATTGGCATAATAATGACAACATATTACAATACAAGACTACATGGGCATAAAACACTAATATTTTTCTTTTTTTTGGCAAGCTAGTGAAAATTTTGGCAGCTGGGCCAGTAGGAAAAAAAATCATTATTATTGAGGCCTGAATGTTTTGTCCTTCTCATACACAAATCCAAAGAAAATGCAGTATTTTTTTTAGAACAGCCTCAAATGTGAACGTTACCTGGCCGTCTCACAGCTGGGTCAGGGATTAGTGTTTTCTGCAGATACTCAGTCAGGGTTTGGAGATTTCCATCATTGAGCTCCATGATTGCTACAGAAATAAAAGTAGGATCCACTATGAGAACTGATGCAGTGAGATGATTTGTTGAGATATACACACACACACACACACATATACACGCATATGCACACATATATACATACACCACTACAGCAAGGGTACTGATTTATTTATTAAAATCAAGTCATTCTGTAAAGCAGAAAGATCATGCTGATGATAATGTGAACATGTATTTAATTTGGTAACGCATTTCAGAAATTAAAGACCTGCATCTGAAGTACATTTTAATGTAAACGGACCCTTACATTTTTCTTCTGCACATCTCTTATACTGACAGCGAAAACAGCTGATAATGTTCATGTTTATGATCTTGACAAACGGTAGCACACATGCTTGGCCTGCTCTGACTAAAGCGGCCTGACAAGTATCTCACTCACATTTATGAATAAACACTAAATTATGCTCTGTGTGGTAGACGGCTGGTTAATGGGCTCCACTGTGTCAGTCTGGTTGTTTATGATTGCGTTTACTGACAGAAACTCAGGCCATGATTCACGTGCTAAAGCTGTTAGCATGCTGAGAAGAAATGCTAGTCATCCAAAATAATCACAAAAAAAGCGCATCACAATAAAACGACCTCTATTTTCCAATATGATGGACACCGAAGAAACCGCCAAACGAGGTTAATTTAGTGAAAGTAAGGCGGAAAGTACTCCGTTATGTGGTTAGCTCACGAGCTAACTCTCCAGCTCACTCTTAACAGCGCGCGCTGCGTGCGTAAGCATACAAACAAGATAATTCAGTAAACTCATAGTTTGTTAACGACCAGAAGATACTATAGACTGAATTTAATAACAATGAGATAAAAAAGGGTCTTACAGTTAGCTGTATGTAGAAATGCTGTGCTAATCACCGGCGAGAAGTTTCAAACGTCTCAAGTACGCGGTCACGACTCGGCGCATGCGCAGTTGCGCACTAATGAGACAGCGAGGCGCGCACATGTATGTATTTTAGCCTGTATGTATTTATCACGTACCGCCCCCTCGTGTATGTTGCGGCGAACTGCAGCATATTTAGGGGAACGTTGGTTTTGTGGACAGAATGGATCTCATTTTAGAAATAAAATCAAGGTCATATTTCAAGACTAATTATACATTATATATATTATATAATATATATTATATTATATATAATTATAAAACAATATAATTAAATTAAGTATATTTTAAAACGAATACTTTTTTCCCATTAGGATTATTTTCACGATAATTAAGCATATTAGTTCTCATTACAGCGATGTAAAAACAGTCAAAAGTCCACTTAAACAAATGCTTGTTTTAGCAGTGCCAATGATGATTAAATTATTCAGTTCAAAACGTTCTTATAATGAATATATTTTTTATATATTCTGTGTCCAAACTAATATTCCATTATTATGATGTAAGAGTTGTTGTAGCTTAAACTGGCTCAATGAGTGTTTTCTTATTTACACCCACAACCTAAAAATGCAAATATCAGGTTGTCATTTTATGGGGCAAGTTGTATTTATTTAGGCCTATTTATATACAACAATCGCTTGTTGTATTCCTCAACTGTAAATTGCTTTGGATTTTTTTTTTTTAAAACAATGGCTTAATACTATTGTTACCGTTTACATTTGTGCTGTTTATGAATTGTTTCATAATTATTTAACTGATTTTCCTGAAAAGTCATTAAATATGCTTTTTATCATTAGACTATTCATGTATCATGATAGTATTTGTTGTACTGTCTATATGCTGCTTTTAATATAAACATTAATTGTCATTAGGGAAACAGGGAAAAATAGGAATGGTCTCAGAAATTAGATTTGTATTTATTTTTTTCAAAATGGTCATTTGCAGGTCTTGTGAAAAATAAATCGAGAGACTTTATGCATGTGATATGTATGTTGCCATCACTTATTGTAACAACGAGACTAACTGCTTTCTCTTATGTTCAAAAGCTGAATATTTCAATCATTCAAGCAGTTACCAAGCCTATTGATTTTAATTGACTGGTGGCATCCACCCTTCATCTACTTGTGTTGAACACCATAGTTCAAATATAACAGAGAAGACAGAAGAAGAAGAATTTGTAGATTATGGTTAATTTGGTGCAACACTTTTACTATTTTAAATAATATTAAATTAACATTGGCTCGGCTTTACTCGTTTTAAAATATTTTACAGTGACGCTCTATTAAAACAAACCTTTTCTTCTGTTGCATAAAATTAGTCAAGACATACAAAGATGTAGGCCTACATAATTCATTAATGTCTGGTCCTGCATTATTTGAAGACATCCTTTGTGGCGTATTAAGTTATAACACAGTGTGACTGGGACATTGAAAAACATGCAATCTGACTCTTCTTTCTTCTGTGTATTGTTTCATTTTGTAATTAACTTTGCTTTGTCCCTTGTACTGTTTATGGTTTCCAGCAAAACTCATCACATAATTGCTTCTGGCGCTTCATGATTATTGTTTTTATGCCCCTGACATCAGCATTTGTTCCGATTTAAATCTATATTTGTGAAAAGCTAAATCAGGCATTGTAATAATTACAGCAATTAGGACCATTCAGATTACAGTCAGAAGGGAAAAACCGTGAAAAAAAAATCGTGAACACTGGGAGGCAGTGTTATACTTTTACATTTCATGCAAATTTTGGAAACAGATGCAAGCAAATACAAATAACGAATATCAAACATTTTAGACTCCACACAACGTACAACATGGAGATATACTTAAAGTACATCAAAACTCATATTTTATTTTATGTATAGCAATACAATTTACATATTAAATAACACTATAATAGAATGCTTTGATATAGCTTTCAACAAAAAGAAAAAAAGAAAACCCCTTAAAAAACAAAAAAACAAAAAAAACCTTCGTGTGTTATTCCAGATTAGAAAAAGTGGATATGATGGTGACACCCACCTGCTTTGTATGGGAGAACTTATTCTTTGACTTACAAGATCTATTCTATTGCACTTCTGGACAATGAAACAGATTTTATTTCGATTCAAATGGGGGAAAGAAAAAAGAAATACTAAAATCACTGCCTTAGTTTATGAGTGTTGTGTGTTTGGAATGTGATGCCAGCCACCTTCTGAAGGATTTGGGGACATTTTGTGTTAACCATCAATGAGAACTACACACAAAACTAAGAACAAACAAACAAACAAACAAAATTGATTCATATGAAAATAGAGAGTTTGCAATTATATGCCAGGATACAAAGCTTTTAGAGACTGATGAGTTAATGAAGCAAGAAATAGATATGTACATTTCTTAACATGATAATGCAAATATGCTTGCAAATGCAACCCACAAATAATGCAAGAAAAGGAAAAAAGGGATACCACAGGACAAAAATGTTAGAAAAGATTTATGCAACTTGCAGCTCCAATTATCTCACGCGATGCACAAGCAAAGTCAAAATATTACCCCAAATGTTGGAGAGATGTGACTTCATTTTCCAGCCTCCTTCTTAAGAGAACCAAGACATGAACTGAGTAAACACCTTCAATGTGTGTCTTCTCCATCTCAACAGCATAACATAGTCAAACTTTCGAAAGCATTTCAAAAGTCAAACAAAAATTCAACAGCTTTCTTCTTCACATCAAAAGAAATCAGTAATAGTGTACATTCTCATTGCAACATAAAAAGAAACGAAACAAAAATAAAGGTGACCTGTCAGATAAACAAATGCTCCGCGAAGCAACTTAGACAAAAACAAAACCAAACCAAACGAAACAAACAAAACTACTAAGAACGCAACAAAAAACAAAGATGCAAAGCAAAACATACAACAAAACAAAAACATAATTTTGCCTGTGGACATTTTCAACATTGTTTTCCCAGTCACTACCGAAAACATTCTGCTTAAAACGGCTTTACCCAATCCTAAAAATAAAAACTTTCTCACGTTTCATGACTGAAGTGACAGTTGTAGTCTTTGGTAAAAATTAATGAATCGCGGGGTCCCCAGTTTTCGAAGCGATAAGACTGATTCTAATGTTTTGTTAGCAAGGCCTTTGTGCTGTATGGCATGAGACAACCGTTTACGATATTACAGTAACTGTTTTTCCTAGCAGTATCTGAGAATCAATGACAAGAAATGACAGACACTAAAAGAGGTCGGTTTAGTGAAGAAATGCTCGGACTGAGTCTACAAGCTTCTAGTAAAACCAGTCAATACCAAACACAACACACACCTATATCACACACATACACACACACACCTGCCGAGGTGAAATGAGACTGTACAGAAGGCATCGAGAGACTTGTATACATTATTCTCAAAGTTATGGGACGGCTTATGTCAGTGAACCCAGGACGAAGTAGAGCAGTATAAAAATCACAAAATGAAGTGGGCAGAGAACAGAATTAACTCCTACATTATGAGTCGCATTTTATCATTACATGTTGAGTTGCACTCTCAAGTGACAAAAGTAGCAGCTTGCAGCGTAAAGCAATGGAGAAATCAAACCAGCAGGGGGTGCTAGAGGAGTCACGGGCTCTGCGGATCCTTCGACCGAGAGCAGAGACTGTGACGGCTGCTCGTAGAGACAGTTAACATTTACAAAAGCACAAGTTATCATGATATACGATATATTCATATATATTAAAAGCGGAATATGAATCATACAAAAGTTCACAGTAGCTGTTTTAATACCACCTTTCGAAAGTAAATATGGGTTTAACTAGAAGCATAATGAGTAGATATACTATTCGGGGTGCGTGAAATGATCAAAGCAAACGAAAATCAAAACGAACATAATCCATATTGCTCATACGGTCTTTCATCGGTGAATCTGACGTTTTGTGGTGGGTCTTCGCAAGTTGGACATGGGAATAATCTCTTTTTCCAGCGTCTGAGGTGTGCGTGGAAACTGTTTTTTGATTGTGGAGGATATTTCTAAAGCTTCGGAGAGCAGCTTTATTATGGAATGTCAGAATAAGGGCTTGACAGTGAGAGTTCAAAGTGAGTGAGAGAGACCGACTGTGGTGGAGATGCAGGAGTAGGCAGTAACACTGATATTTTCATAGTGCAAACTAGACAGAACTGTGTTTCATTTCGTTCCGTTTGTTGCGAACTCAAAAAACGTCGGTGCAAATGTTCAGTAGGATAACATTAAGACATAAAATGGCGAAAAAAATAAATATCAAAAACTTTTTATCAGTGTAAAAAAGTAATCAGGTTATTCTTTTAACCAAGAGTTCTGGCAAAAAAGGCCTCAGAAAAAGTCTGTCTTAGTCCTTGAAGTTTTACAAAGTTCGAGTAAGTGCCTCTTCGCGCCTGTTCGGGGGGCTTTAGACGAGCGACTCCATGCTTTCGGCCGGGTCCGATTCGTCAGACATGGCCACGCTGCCGTTTCTGTCCAGGGACATGGGGCTGGATCCGTTCTCTTTAGTGCTTATCAAGCTGAGCATAGCTTTGTAAAGGTACTGGTACTGTTCCTGAAAAACAGAGGCGGACATAAAGCATGACTTCACAATGGGGCACAGAGGATTTGTTTTTTGTTTTGTTTTGGAGAAAAATTGTGTTTAGAAAAGGATGTAAAATGTAGATACTAGCTTCCCACTCCAGTCCAGTAGGTGGCAGACATTCAGCTTTTATGTTGATGTGTAAAAATGTCAGAAGCAGCTGAATGTCTGCCACCTACTGGACTGGAGCGAGAAGTGCTGAATGGCTCACACAAGGGATCACATTTTAACTTAAAATTGATTCAACAATACGGATCCTTTCACTAAAAATGCAGAAAGATAGATATTAAGGCCAAATTTGATTCATTTGTTCTCTCATTTTAGTTACATTTTGGCTATGTTGTACTAATTTGTTCTAAATCGGCAACAAATTGAGCTGTGGGTATGAACTCGCGGCTGTGTTTTATTAATTAGTTCCCATGTTTTAGTTGAATCGTAGCCACACGGTACTAATTTGTTCTAATTCAGAAACAAATAAGGTCTTGTGTGTGAACTTATTGTCACTATTTACTTTTGTAGTCTTGAAAGGCTTTTTTTACAATAGGGAAATTAGATTGGCTGTAATGCTCAGGCAACTTGCAAAATAGTAAAACCAACATGACAAAGAATCGTGAGATTCCTGAATAAAATGGTGATATGATATTTTTTCCCTAACTTGTGCTACAAAACTTTCAACCTCTGTAGCACCAGTGCTATGTGCAAAAAAAGTTAACCTGGAACGACATGAGGGTGAGTAATCAATGACAGAATTTTCATTTTTAGGTGAACTTTAAACACACACATACATATGTTCTTTTGTGTCATTTAGGTTTAAGGGTGAGTTCATTCTATTTGATGTGAACAAAATCTTTTAATGTGACCAGAATAAGCGTATGGACCGCAGTATAAACACTTACAATGTCGGTAAAGACTCCTGGTCTCATGAGGTTGATCATCTTGGCCACCTGGTAGACCCCCACAGCTCCTTCACTCTCCAGCTGCTGTGACAGTGTGGTGAGAGCACATAACATCCCAGCAGACACTGCACCAAATCTGTCCACACACAAACAATACATAGCTCTGTTATGATCAAACATCTCTTAAAAGTCAACATAAATGCTGTTCAACTCATTTACCTCTTTTAATGTGTCATATGTCAGATTGAAATATTATTCAACAAGAAGAAGAAGAAAAAAAAAAAGAAGGACGGGACTTTTATTTCTGTTATTTTATTCTTTGGGAATTGACTAAATTGTGAAAAGTCGTGTCTTTGTGATGTGGCAGGGTTAAAAAATTGGATTGGGGATGCCAGAACAGTGTTTTATTAGTATTATTTGTAAACTATTATAATATCTGTTAATGTTTTGAATTAGCTTTCATTAATATTTTCAGTTTTAGTTCATTTTAATTTGAGTAAATATTTGTTATGTGCTTTTGTTATTTGTATAGGTTTTTGTTATTTAATATTTAACATGAATTTATTTTGTTTCAGTTTAAGTTTTAGAAATGTTAGTACTTTATTTCAATTAGATGCTAAGGCAACATTACATTTCTAATTTTGGTCTTCTGTCTTCTAAGATGTTGACATTTTCTTGTAATTATTTTATTTTATTTATCTTTTACTGAAAATGCTAGGAAAAATCACAGCAAGTTATAATTTATTATTTGTATATTTTTGTTAACAGATTAAAACAACAAATATTTTTTTTATTTCACCAAAAAAATCATGCATAATAAAACCAATAATGTGCATGAAGAAATATGTTTATATATTATTATATATTTAAAAAATATATTAAATACATGTATTTTGACTGTAAGACCTCAAAGTTGTTCTCATGAAACTAAAGCAAAATGTAATGTATATATATTTAAATAAAATGGTTAATGAAAAGTAAATGTTTTGTGGTATCCCATCAATAGCAACAACCAAAAATAAAATGTTAAGGCACTGGAATATTGTGGCTGTTATTCTTATTTACATAAAGTAAATTTACACAGTACATTTGATTACAAAACACCAAATTACAAAATTCTAGCTTCTTTTTATATGTGGCTCAGTTGCTTACTGTAAGAGGAGGTTTTCTATTTCTACACATTTCTTTTTATAGATCATCTTGTACAGGCCATTTTCCATCTTGTCTTATCTAGTGTTCTTGCTTCTTTCTCTGACAGTAGTGCAACATTTCCATTTATAAACTCTATACTTAAGTCTATAGGAATAGAATTCATTACAGTTCCTACTGTTTGACACCCTAAGGTGCTGTGTTCCAATTAGCTTTAACGAGTATTCCTTAATATCAACAGACATTACTTTGCAACAAACCGACTAACAGTGGCCCCTTCATGTTTATTCATTATGTTAATGAGGCCGGATTGCCTCATCTGATGCTGGACTAATTGAGCTTTTCAAAATGTGTAACGTTACTATTATATCACCCCTAAGAGGTTTCGAAAAGATGGCTGTCTTGATTAGCATCACGTTCATTAGAGCTGAAGATATGCTAGTCTGTCAAATGCTCCTCCTGCAGAAGATCTGCATCTTGCATTTGGCTCAATTTGCAGACTTCTACTAAGTACAAAAAAGTGTGTATTGGCAAAGCATGCAAGCCTCAAGTCACAAAACATGAAAAAAGGTTGTATTGTTCCAGTTCTGACGTGCTACATACTATATCAGATGGTTGGTTTGTGAATTGTGATTGAAGTCATTGAACCAATGTTTATCTCATCCCAACCTCTAAAACCAGAGGCAGTTTTTACTTAAGATTGAGGTTTTCTAAGCCAAATTGTAAATTACAGGAGGCACTTTATGTTTTATAAAAGTGCATTACTCACTCGTCATGCACTATAGTGGGTCCATCTCTGGTCATGGCCTCTTCTTTGATGACATTGATGAGCTCAAAGGTGCTGCTTATGGGAGCGTCAGGGTTTGGCCATTTCGGGCACTGAAAATGACGAACTTCTAAAACGTAATCATCCTAAAAAGTAAAAGAAATGGAGAGAGATAATTACTAAAAATTATATATAGTTTAAACCAAAATGTATAATTATAATTATGAACTTTTATATAAACTACATATATAATCTATTTATTTATATACTGTACTGTACACAAATTTGGGGCCAGTTTTTTATTATTTTTTTAAAGAAATTAGCACTTTTGTTCAGCAACAATGCATTAAATTGATCAAAAGTGACAGTAAAGACATTTGTAATGTTACAAAATATTTCTATTCAAATAAATGCTGTTTTTAACTTCCCTTTCATTAAATAATCCTGAAAAAAAAAGTATCACAGTTTTCACAAAAATATTAAGCAGCATTAAATAGAAAATATTAATGTTATATGTATAATAACAATTTAAAAATTAATAAAAAAAATACAAATTAATAAAAAATGTATCCATCTCACTTTAGTGACTCATACATTTTGTCCCTGACACGCTACGTATGCTTTTAATCCCAGAGGCTTCTGGGAAACAGTACGTCATCACCTAATCAGTGGTAAAATTTCTGGCAGTATTTCATGACAGCATGCACAATGTTCAGACCAGCTAATGTCCTTTTATATTTCACCTCCATTCTTGATAGATATTTTAGACTGAGTGGAATAAAATAAACTGTGGCACAGGTTGACTTTTATTTTGCTTATATTGTACAGTGTAAAGGGAACGTTCACATAAAAATGAAGATTCAGCCATCATTTACTTACCCTCATGTTGTTTCAATCTTGTACGTTTTTCTTTATTCTGTGGAACACAAAAATATATTTCTAAAATGTCTATCTCATATAAATGCTGTTCTTTTGAATTTTCTATTTATCAAATAATCCTGAAAAAAAAAAGTATCACAGTTTTCACAAAAATATTAAGCAGCATTAAATAGAAAATATTAATGTTATATGTATAATAACAATTTAAAAATTAATAAAAAAAATACAAATTAATAAAAAATGTTTAAGAGCATTAAATCAGCATTTTAGAATGATTTCTGAAGAATCATGTGACACTGAAGACTGCAGTAATGATGAAAATGATTTTAAATGGTAATAGTTCACAATTTTAATACTGTTTTTACTGTACTGTTTAGCGTTTTTTAATTTTTTTGATCAAAAGTGACAGTAAAGACATTTGTAATGTTACAAAATATTTCTATTCAAATAAATGCTGTTTTTAACTTCCCTTTCATTAAATAATCCTGAAAAAAAAAGTATCACAGTTTTCACAAAAATATTAAGCAGCATTAAATAGAAAATATTAATGTTATATGTATAATAATAATTTAAAAAGTAATAAAAAAAAAACAAATTAATAAAAAATGTTTAAGAGCATTAAATCAGCATTTTAGAATGATTTCTGAAGAATCAGGTGACACTGAAGACTGCAGTAATGATGAAAATGATTTTAAATGGTAATAGTTCACAATTTTAATACTGTTTTTACTGTACTGTTTAGCGTTTTTTAATTTTTTTATAAATGCAGTCTTGGTGAGCATAAAATAAATAAATAAATAAAAATCGGTACCCAAACTTTTGAACTTTTGACCTTTCTCTTAATATAATTATACAATAATATTAAATTGTTAAATGTGATTAAATATTTATAATAAATATAAATTATGGTCCCACTTTATATCAGGTGGCCTTAACTACTATGTACTTACATTTAAATTAATCATTTGGTACAATGCACTTATTGTGTAAATACATGTTTTTACATTGGATTTATATTAACAAAATACCTGCATGTAAGTATATCTGTAATCAATTTCTGTAATTACATTTATAATTAAACTTTTGACCCATCCCTTACAACTTAACCCACCCTTAAACTTACCCATACCACCAAAGCTGTCCCTAACCTTACCCATATCCTCAATAGCAGCAAAAGTGTTTTGCAATACAATATGAACACAATAGGTAGATTGTACTTATTTGTTGATGTAAGTACATAGTAGTTAAGGCCACCTAATGTGGGACAAAAATTATAGTACAATATCTTTAAAAATTAGATAACAAAATATAACATAAATTTATATAAATCCATAAGTTTACAACCAGACATTTGTGGCCTCAGGGAATGCTATAAATTATATTATAATATTATTCAAAATAATACAACCATATTAGATGAAATACAAATAATTAAGTACATACTATATACCGTTTGAATCTAAATCTTTCCCTCTAAAGACACAGACCTGTGTGGCCTCCAGGATGAAGTCATGAATGATGATTTGCTCCTCACTGGAGAGGCAGAGTCTGTCTTTACTGATAAGAGTGACTGTAAACGCCTCACAGTTCATGGCTTCCTCTCGACTCGGCCAATACACAAACTCATCCTCCGCCTGCGGGAACAAACGTGAGTGAGCATCAATGCTGAGTAATTAAAGACTTGCAGTGCTCTCACAACCAATTCCCGTAGTTCACTGCTCACAATAACAAGACAACGGCTGACCTTGAGGAGCACAGCCTATAACATTAACTTGAGTTTCCCTCCTTAGAGGCAAGACATGACTCAAGACAAACAGGAACTTCGCAGATGGTCTTGAATACCCACCAGGCCCTGGTTGTCTGGTAACATGACAATGATTTGAGCATTGTGGTCCCAGATCATCCTCCAGAAATCTTTAGTGGTGTGAGGCAAGGGATGCTGGGTAATGATGAACTCATTGCTCCGGTAGTAGCCCTAGTAGTAGTGCGGAAACGTATAATAAACAAAAGCAGCAATCAATTATTCTTAGCTTTCAGTATACCACAGGTAACATATAGATAAGTGACTCAATTTATCCTCACTTTATATTTAGTTAAATTCAGTTACTTAAATAATATCCTTAGTTATAAAAAGGCAAAATGACAATGTGAAGTTTGTGTATAATTTCAAAATGCCTATTTCTCGTTGACCTGTCATCTTTGAACCATAAATAAAACCCTTTATACTATTTGAAAAAAGTGCACCGGTGCACAGGTGCTGTAAAACCAAAATTACACAAATGTTCACTCTCATGACCATAAAGCAGAAGTTTCCCCCAGAACACTGAGTGCTAAATTACAGGTTAATGTAGTTGTAGTGGGGGTGTTGGGAACTCACCATTATATAAGATGCATTGATGTAATCAGTGCCTTTCATCCCAGGCAACGGTGCGAGACCAACACGTGCTCTTTCCGCTGAGAGGGACAAAAACAGCCAATCAGGACACAGAGTAAGAGAGCAGGTCAGTGATGTGATCTCATTAGCTCAAACAGTGCTGCAAGCGCAGTTTTGAAAGCGGTGTTGCAGTTTGGATACTAGAAGAACTGTCTTAGAAGCCCAAGGTATGTGAAAAAAAGCTAAAAATAGCTTCTCCAGAAAAAAAAATGGCCACAGGACACCACAGTAAACCATAACTACAATTAGTAATTTACATTTAGTCATTTAGCAGATGCTTTTATCCAAAGCGACTTACAAACGAGGACAACGGAAGCAATCAAAATCAACAAAAGTGCAATGATATGCAAGTGCTATGACAAGTCTCAGTTAGCCTAACGCAGTACACGTAGCAAGTTTTTTTTTAAATTATATAATAAATAAAAAAGAAAACAGACTATCTACTCAACAATACACAATAAATAAATTGGATGTGCTATTATATTTACATTAGGTTATGTTACTCACATGGGACAACAGAAGAGTTGCGGTTCTTCTCCTTGTTGCATTCTTTTTGAGCACTGAAGCACTCCACAAATCTTGCATTGCACTGAGTCAAAAGCTGAACATAAAGTAGAACTAATTACTTTTTCTTTATTTCAAAGTAGTATGATACATCACATAAGACAACTTGTCTATTGACAACGTTGCAGTCTACCAAACTGCAGGTTAAGAACAGTCAGAATTTCAGGGCTCAACAAAACAAAACACAAAGCAAAGAAAGGCAAAGCATAGCAAAGCAAAGCAAAGCAAAACTAAAAACAAAGCAAAACAAAACAAAGCAAAGAAAGGCAAAGCAAAGCAAAACAAAACACAAAACACAAAAAAAATAAAAAAATAAAACAAAACAAAAAACAAAGAACAACTAATTGACATTTATTAGAAAACAAAACAAAAACAACAAAACAAAAAAAAGATGCATCACATTAAGTACTGCAAATCCAGGAAGGAAATATGTCCTGCAGTTGTAGCCTACCAAATAAAATGAAATGTTGATTTATATTCAGGTATTGAAGCCGAACCAAAAAGAACCATAAAAAGTGAGAATTTCAGGACTCAATAAAATATTTTATAAACTCATGAAACTCAAGCAAGCCACATATCACACATTTTTCCCGCACAGAACCTGTCAAGCTTGGGTTGTAAGTCACAGTGTCCTAACCAGGTATGAAATGATAGAGCAACAAGCGATAAAAGTGAACCAATTTCAATGGTTCAAAATTCTTCTCCGCATAAATATGCATTAAAAATCAAATCTCTTCTGATATGCTGAGAATGTGTCATGCATTGCAGTTCTGCAATCAGTGCTGGCAGACAAATTGCTTGTTGAAATGACTTTGCATAAGGAAAGAGATAGTCCCCACCTTGAACTGCTTCTCCAGTCGTGTTTTGCCCCCTGGGCCCGGCGTCAGGATGTTGTTGACATAACTGTGCAGCTGACTAGAGGGCACCTCTGTTTCATTCCCAAGAATGGCTTCCATCAAGGCATCGTGGATGAAGATATACTGCTCCTAAACACACAGACACAGACAAACAGAGATGTAAAGAGACATGCTAGATGACACCAACAAACAGGACAGATTTAAACTGGTGGCTCACCTCCGTTTGGACCAGGTAGTTTCTCTGAGTGCGTATATGTTTGAGGAAACCCAGCACATTGACTGAGCCTTTATCTTTCAGCTGCTGTAGCATGCTGTCAATCACAATATAAGTTCCTGTCCTGCCCACGCCAGCACTAAAGAAGACACATTAATAACATATAAAACAGTTTGTTTATTGCTCTCTTTAGCCATCAAATCAGCCAGTGGAAGTGTGTGCATCTGTGTGGTTTTTTTACCTGCAGTGTACAAGCATGGGGCCCATCTCTGGAGTCTGTGCGGCAGAGGACCTCCTGACAAAGGTGAGCACAGGTAACGTGTATTCAGGGACACCCATATCTGGCCACTGAGTGTAGTGATACTGCAGAACTGTTCTTTCACTCTGACGTCCCTTAGTGTTACCCTTCTGACCCTGCAAACACACACACAAACAGATGAAAGTTTTAAAACTACATATGACCCTTCAACATAAAAGGACAAAGAAGAACAACAACATAGACTCCTACTGTTGTATAAATGAAGCCAGAACAAGACACAAAAAACAGCAAAACAAAGCAAAGCAAAATAAAACAGCAAAACAAAACAAAACAGCAAAGTAAATTAAAGTAAAGCAAAACAAAACAAAGCAGCAAAACTGTCACGGGTTGCTACTGTGAGGAGCACGGAACGAGGAAACCAGGAGACCAGGAGTACAAACCAAGGAGTTTATTTACATCATGGGGAATCACACGTAGCACAAGGGAGTTGACATTCACAAACAATACCGGACATATAAACGTGAAAAACCCCTGGGGAGAAAAAAACAAAATACGCGGGAGACAGAAACTGGGTCACAGAAAAACACACACAAAACACGGGACAGAGTCTGACATAACGCCCCCCTCCGGAAGGCGTGTCTTCACGCCATATAACATCCAACGGGGAGGGGAGGTGGGCGCTCTGGAGGTTCCTCAGGACAGACACGGGACAGTGGGCCTCCAGAGCAGTACCCCTTCGGGGCGCCATGGCGGAGCAGGGGACTCGGGAGGCCATGGCGGAGCAGGATACTCGGGAGGCCATGGCTAAGCAGGGGACTCGGGAGGCCATGGCAGAGCAGTCTCCGAGGCCGCGGCCACTACGGCTGGAGCCCTACTACCCCCCCCCCAAAAAAAATACTTGGGGAAATTTACGGGGCTGTACTCGGGGCCTGGAGCCCTCCCTGGGC